AATTCATTTCCTCCTCCCCCAGTTCAAAGTCAAATACCTGCAGATGAAAGAAATTGTTATACATGTGTGGTCGTTTATGTTGCTCTTTCTACTGAATAAGGGTGGTTCAACCAGTTCTTGTGAACACAAAGTTTGTTCTTGAAAGTATGTAAACCCTGACAATGAACTTCGGCTATTTATCCCCTCCCGGGTCTGTTACAGAGCTGATGTGTGTGTGTGTTCTATAGTCCTGCCTTAGGGTGACAATCACTTCTTCGCTATAGATACAGTGCAATGATCACCAGGTGAAAAATGAAAAGATAAAACTATTGCAGCCATCATATCTAAGGACTTGTAAGTTGCAATATATCGGAAGCTGTTTTGTTTTTCAGCGAGTGAATATTTTTAATATTATTTTAATGTTTCATTGAAAATCATTTTCACATCCTATCTTGTCCTCATTTTTGTTACTGTATTGAATGTAGAGATTTGTAGATTTGACTCTATTGCGTCTCCTGTCAGTTTGTTGGAGGTTTTTTTTGCCATCTGTGTCTCATTGGAGAGATTTCCCTTAAAGCGGAACTAAGCTCTCTCGATCAACATTAACTATTTTAAACTTTATGCTGCTAGTATTGGTATATAAATAGGAAGACATATTATATTTTCATGTTGTAACTTTATTTTATTTGTCTTCAGTTGTTTCCTGGTTTCTGGCCTAGGCCAAAACGATGTCATGCATCCCAAGAGTCTTCATGGACATTTTTTTTTCATATGGAGGAAGGGCTTTCTCACCTGAGCACACCCTCCTGCCTACATGCCTGAGCTAAGGGCAGATGGATTCCTGGACGTAAATGCTACATAAATCATCTGCCCTTACTCAAGATGGCCACAGCTAGAAAACCCATCCTCCCCTCCTGAAGACTCCTAGGATGTATGACATAATTTGCCTAGGCATGGAAACCAGGAAGTAACTAAGGAAATGTAAAAAAAAAAGTTTAAAACAAGTAAATAAAATATACTTTCCTATCTATTTACTAACACTAGCAGCACTGTTAATTCAGCAAAAATTTTGCAATTGCATTAGATAACAAAGTAATACATACAGCATACAGTATTGTTTTCTAGGGGCAAACAATGCTTAATTTTGGTGATATTGGGGTGAATTTACTAAAGGAATATAGAGCGGGGTAAAGCCCTGCTGATTTCCACCATCCAATCATGTGCAAGCAAAAATGCTTTTTCACATTTTCTTTCCACATGATTGGATATACTTTACAAAGTGAAGCTTCACACATTTACTAACGAAAACCAAATGTACTTGCAAAGTATACAGCCTAATCCACCATATTGTCTTATTATTTTATATTTTCCAATCCAAAGACAAAACAAAAAAAAACCCAACATACTGTTCACTTTTTTCTAATTTTTTCTGAAAGTTGCGCCGACTTACAGTGCGACTTTGCCAGGCAACTTGAGTACTACTTTGAAGCGACATTGAAGCAACTTTCAGGGAATGCCTGGGTAATCTTCCTGTAATGTCGGATCCAAATCACATCAATATAGATGAGGATCGGACTTGGAGGTGACTTCCATTAAAGTCTATGGGCACAAGTCAGGTAGAAGTCGCCTTGAAGTAGTACAGGAACCTTTCTAAAGTCGGAGCGACTTCAGTAGTGCTAATTAGGACCGCTCTCCTTGACTAACATGGGATTTCCCATGTCATCATAGTGGCATGTCTCACAAGTCAGAACCCAAGTTGTGGAAGTGTGAACCGAGCCTTACCCCCCAGTCACATCAAGCCCGACTTTGAAGTCGTGGGACTTACAGTGAAGTCGCACAATTTCAAAGTGGGGGCAGGGGTGGACTGATCATTTGGAAACTCGGGCACTGCCCAAGGGCCTGGGGTCAGTAGGGGGCCCCATGAGATGCCCTTGGTACCTTTTTCATAGACTTTTTTGAGTTTGGGCAAGGACACAGGGGCCCCATGATCCCCTGTTGCCCAGAGGCACCATGAGTTGTCAGTCCGCCCCTGGTTGGGGAACATACCGATTTCAGGTGTGATTTGCAAGACATCTGACACAGATGTCTATGCAAATCACACCAAAAGTAGAGATCGGCGTGGCTCCGACCAAGTTCGAACCACACCGATACGACCGCTGTAATTGCGGACAATAGGGTGCAACTTGGCATGCGATTTGCAAGTCATATGGCATGCAAATCGCATCCCAAGTCGCACCCAGTGCGAGCAGGGTCTTAGGTCTGGAAATGAATAAGAAAGAGTAGATACAAAAGTAAAAATGTTTTGAGTAATGTAACATGAGTAATGTTTATAAACAATGTGTCAGATGGTCTTCTATTTCAACAGCAGCAGCAGCTCCTTCAGCCATTGTGCTTACACAGCTGTCATTTTGACAAATGAAGGAGCAGCAGAGGAGCAGGACAGGGAGTACTACACATAATCTGTATACTTTGTTTAATTTTTTTTTTGGGGGGGGGGGCGCTTAAGTAGCATGCATAACCTAGATTGTAAGCTCGAAAGAGCAGGGCCCTCGATCCCCTCATGTTTTGCATTGTATTGTTATTGTTCTGTCACATGTTCTGTCCCCCTCTGTAATGTACAGCGCTGAGCGAACTATTGGCGCTTTATAAATACTGTATAATAATAATAACAACTGGTTACAAAGCCAAGTGACAGCCTATCAATTTCTTTCATGATAGGTGAACTTTAAAGGTCACCTCTGAAAACTGTTTCCTTTCACAGCTCCTGCTCAGTGCTGCAGACAATCACTACCCAGCAGCTTGAAGCATTGGCAGTCCTGGAGAAGAGCACAGTTCTGCAGCATTATGCACAGTGACGAGACTGACCAAAAAAACGGCAGCGCTTCTAGGAGCCATGTAATGGCAGATTCCAATGCTGGAAGAGACACTTACATAGGGCAGGCATCTGCAAACCTCGCAGGTCCCTTTTAAATAATAAAATTTGAGTCTTAGATTTGGTTCCTTAACCACTTGCCCTCCAGAGGATTTACCCCCATTCCTGCCCAGGCCATTTTTTGCGATACGGCGCTGCGTTACTTTTACTGACAATTGCGCGGTGGTCATGCAACACTGCACCCACATGAAATTTACGTCCTTTTTTCGGTGGTATTTGATCACCTGTGCATTTTTTATTTTTGCGCTATAAACAAAAAAATACCAACAATTTTGAAAAAAAAAACAATATTTTTGACTTTTTGCTATTGAACATATCCAATAAAAATATTTAAAAAAAAACAATTTCATCATAAATTTAGACCAAAATGTATTCTGCTATATGTCTTTGCTAAAAAAAAAATCCCAATATGTGTAAATTAATTGGTTTACCTGAAAGTTATAGCATTTACAAATTTTATATACTGGAATTTAAAAAAAATAGTTTTACTAGTAATGGGACTGTGGGACTGCGGTGGGCATTCTGACACTGGGAGAAACTGACTTGGTGTCACTGACATCCCCAGTGACACCAATACAGTGATCAGTGCAAATAAAAAGCACTGACACTGTACTAATGGCACTGGGCAGGAAGGGATTAACATGTGGGGAGATCAATGGGTTAACTGTGTGGACTGTGTGTTTCACTGTAAGCACACTGCTTTGCATGGCTCTGCAGAGCCATACAAATCAGTGTGCAGGAGGTGGCAGGGGAGAGAGATCTGTGTTGTTTATACACAGGTCTCTCCCCTGTCGGTGATACTTGGTGATTGCCGGGTGCAGGCGGGAAATCACTGGCCGGACCTGGTGATTGACAGCCGAGGTCGCGAATGGCAGAGTGAGTAGGGCGTGCGCTCGCTACTCAGAACTGCAGAGTCCCGTATATATACTGTGCATGATGTTGCACAATATTTTTGCTATAGGGCAGCGCGGAAGCGGTTAAAGTGTATGTAAAGCCTAAACTTAAGACTGTAGAAGGGTTAGAATCTGTCAGTTTTTTCTTTGGTATCTGTGTCCTCACTGGAAAGGACCCCCACTGGCTTGGAGAGCATTGTCTGTGGCAAGGACGGACTGACAACTCATGGGGGGTAAATCCTCTGGAGGGCAAGTGGTTAATGTTTATACGGCTGGTGTGCACCATCCAGCCCAGGGGCAGACTGACAACTCATGGGGCCACTGGGCAATAGGGGATCAAGAGGCCCCTGTGTCCTTGCCCAAACTCAAAAAAGCCTATGAAAAAGGTACCAGGGGCATCTCATGAGGCCCCCTACTGACCCCGGGCCCTCAGACAGTGCCCGAGTTTCCAAATGGTCGGTCCGCCCCTGGTCTGTGGTACAGAAAGTGATATAAAATCCAAAACGTTTGCTTTTTCACAGGAATAGATAAGGAGAAATCTTCAAATGGGGAAACAAAGAGATCTTCTTTTACTTCTTGCTATGTCTTGCTATGTTCCCTCTGCGGGGAATGCTTTCTGGACAGAGAAGGGACCCTTCCTTTTTTGAATGGACAGAGTCAGTGAACGGTACCAATCGCTCACTGTGTTCATTCGTAACTGAAGCATAGTAAACTATGCATGAAAGTAAAAAACCTTCTGTGTGCTGTTCCCCCCAAAGCTCCCCTAAAACTCACCTGAGCCCCCTTCCATCCAGTGATGTGCATGGGAGCCTCAGCTGTCCTGTGTTTCTCTCTCTCCTCATTGGCTGAGATACAGCAGCTGGAGCCATTGGCTCCAACTGCTGTCAATCACAGTTAGTGAGCCAATGAGGAGAGAGCGGGGGTGGGGCCGAGCTGCAGCTCTATGTCTTATAAACACATAGAGCGGGGCTCAGGAATGAGTGCACACCAGTGCCCCCATAGCAAGTGGCTTGCTATTAGGGGCACTGGTCAAAGGGGAGGAGCGAGGAGAGTCAGTGGGTGACCCAAGAAGAAGAGGTTTGGGGCTGCACTGTGCAAAACCATTGCACAGAGCAGGTAAGTATAACATGTTTGTTATTTGAAAAAAAATAAACCATTAATATCACTTTAAACTTCAGCTCTAACCATTCCCTATATTATCCAAAACTTATAAAAAGGTTTGGCACAGTTTGTACCTGCAGGTTCTCTTTGATTCTATGTTCAGTGAAACTTTTTGCAAGAACGACAATCCCTCTCTGCAGCAGATATCGAAGCGCCACCTGAGCCGGAGTCCGGCCAAGCTTCTTTGCTATGCCATTCAGGACTGGGTCCTCAAGGAGTACAGGGCAATCTACACCAATCCTACAGAAAAGCAAACAGACAAAGCTCGTTCCAAATATCTAAACAACCTCGCCACCAAAAACATCAGGCAGGGATAGAATTAGAATGTTACACCATTGCAACACATATCATTGTAATTCTCCAATTGGTCTGACAGACAGCTGTATCGGACATGCAGGAACAACTTCAACTACTTCTTCATGGAGATAAAGGGAAGGAAGCCCAGAGTGTTTTGTTTTTATTTTAACAGACTTTACAGAATAATTGGAAGATGAGTATGGCATGCCCTGTGTTATGCTGTGCTCTAGAAACCATGGCTTCACCCATTTCATTACTGCGGCATGGCGAAAATGCCAAACTGACAAGACAACTAATAATAAATAATAATGAAGCAAAAAAATGGTCATATGATCTGTCAGTATGCTAGTTGTTTGAAGTCTCACAAGATTTCAGAGGCAGCAAGAGCAGCCTGGGCTTTAAGCAGAACTCTGGGCTCACAAGCCTTTAATTAAATATAATACTTAATAGCCACTGAGGACATGATTACAGTTTGTGCTCACCAAATTCCTTTACAAAGCCAGATATTATCTTGTAAAAGTAGCAGTGATGACATCATCATAGTGCTGTACATAGCCTGTGAAGAGAGCAGAGCTGTGGGAGGGACCCAGCAGACCCCACCCACTATAGGCTACTTGCAGGAAGGGGCAGTGACAAGACCAGTCACCCTGCCTGCACAAGGAGAAGGAGTGGCAGTGACCGGTCTTTATTACAGGAAGCTCCTGCACAGGGGCAAAGTTTTAAACTGGATTACCCCACAGATTTGGAAGAAATTCACAAAGCACACCAATATTCAAGTAAGAATAAACATGCCTCTTGTGTTGGATTTCAGCTTAAAGAAGCAAGCTCTTTCTATTCAGACTGTGCATGTAAATACAGTTGAGATCAAAATAGTTTTTCAACTTCCTATAGAAACTTTTCTATTTACCCCAATGCCTGGTCCCGGCTGGAGCCCAAGACACTGTAGGCAACTAGCACAATGCTCTTGTCCTTGCAGAACTTCAGCAGTTTCTCTTGCTTCAGGTACACATGGCATTCTACCTGTACAGACAAGAAACACATTAAATAGAATTTTATGATCAATCTCAGTTTATTAAAGCTTTTCAGAAACTGTAGAAAAAAGTCAAACTGGCACATAAACAATACAATGGTAGGGAATAGAACAAAAAGGGACTAAGGGTGGGTGTGGGAAGAGGGGGGAGAAGAAGGGTAGACAATAACACATGAGGCAATAATAAACAATAACAGACTGCACTCAGTATCTCCAATTACAGACTGTGACGGGTTACTTTGGGTGGGGGGCCCATGGAACACAGCTCACTTTGGAGAGGTGGAAGACCCCTGTCTCAGCTCCCCATATCCCTATTATGTGTAAGTAACCCTGTGCCTGTTAGGGGTACAGGGTGATCTGTCCTAATATTGGGTTTGGGGTTTGTTGATTGTTTAATGCCATGTGGTTGCATCCCATTGTTCTATTGTTTGTCTTGCTAGGGAGCAAACTATTATTGAATGTATGTGTTTATGTGTATTAGCTTAGTGGGGGGTTGTCTCCCAAAGCCCTTCCTCCTGTAGGGACTGTCTGTTGGTGTGAAGTTTGAATACCTGTGTGTCTCTTGTTGCTAAGTGTAGATTGCCCCACCCTGTGTCATTATGCAGGGAGGGGGGATTTGTCCCCTGAGTGTATAAAAAGCCAGTTCGAGTTTCAAATAAAGAGTTCCATGTTCAGACAGACTGGTGTCATCTAGTCTTGGTTAGTCGGCTGTGGGGTCTGTGGTCGGTGTACGGACAGGGTAGCGGTATTATAACGGAAGTACCAAACGCAGACTGGGTCGGTTCCGTTACACAGACCCAAGAGTAAAGTGCAAATAGTTTTGTTGTACAAACAATATCAAGCCCCCGAAGGGCACAGATTATAAAGACTAAAAGAACCACAATAAAAAAGCACAAACCCTAAGGGACAATGCACCATACAGAACAATTGAGATCAGCCTGAAAAAAAGGAAAGGAGCCATGGAACCCACCACAGCAATCCACACACCTCCCCTTCCAGAAAACAATCGCCCAGAAAAAACAAAAATAGGAGGGGGAAAAAGGAAAAAAAAAGAGGGGGGGGGGGGGAGAGAGAAGGGGAGAGAAGAATAGCGGAGAGGGAAAAAAAAGGGGGAAAAAGGAAAGAAGGAAGAAAAGGAAAAAAAAGATAAATAGATCCGCCTGAGAAAAAAAGCACCCAGTGAGACAACAAACCAACATGAACCAGAAAGAGAGAAAAAGGACAATTCCTGCTCAAGTAGTCATGAGGGTGCGGAGTACGGAGGACTCCCTATACATATGCCAGGAGTGCCAAGTCCGACGACAGCGTTCCACAGTGCCCAATTCCTGAGCCAATAGCGACTCCATAGGGTTTATTTACTAAAGCTGGAGAGTCCAAAATCAGACTCCCTTCTGCATAGAAACCAATCAGCTTCCAGGTTTCAGTGCCAAAGCTTCATTGAACAAGCTGAGGTTAGAAGCTGATTGGTTTCTATGCAGAAGGGAGTCTGATTTTGGACTCTCCAGCTTTAGTAAATAAACCCCCATATGTCTAATGTGATCCATCTCCTCAACCCACTCCAAAAGAGTCGGAATACAGCTAGTTCTCCAATGGCGAGGTATAGCCAGCCTGGCAGCTGTCAAGCAATGGCGAAGAAGGCCCGTTTGATAGATTTGAAGGAGCCAGGCAAGATAGAAAGCAGAACAATTTGGGGCGTATTGGAGACCGTCTGGTCTGTAACCTCCAAGTAGACTCGCAAAATACAATCCCAAAACGCATAAATAGGGGGACATTAGTACCAGACATGAAAAAGGGAGCCAGGGGCAGCCCGACAGCGCCAACAGAGATCAGAGGTGGAGGGGTAAATCCTATGAAGGAAGGTGGGGCATCAGTACCACCAAGTGAGCAATTTGAAATTGGTTTCCTGAGCCCTACTGGTCAGAGACAAACAGTAGGTAAGGGTAAAGGATTTCAACCAGTCCTCATCCGATATCTGATGGCAAGGGCCCCAGCCCACCTGGAGGTGTACAGCGGAAGATCCGGATGAACCGTGGCCAGCTTAAATACAATTTTTATATATAATCAGGGATACCAAGCCTGGGCTTGCTGGTTCACATATCTGTAGTTGCAAAGACTACCATTAAGTCATATCATTTGTAACATTTTTTAATATTCTAGCAGCTTAACTTAGATGGTGTTAATAGGATCAATCCACCCACAAGTGATATAGAATATAATTATAACCCTGTGCTGCTCTGATCCCCTCAAATGAAATATAAGTTTGGGAAAAGCTGCTCTCCCCAACACCTACACATTTCTGTTGTAGGTGGATGGATGAGTCAGTTCCTGGCTTTTTACAGGTTTTTTTATACTGCTAGAGTGAGATCTCCCTGACCTGTGTTTGTCCTGGGAATCTTAGGTAGACATGTGCAAAACAAAAATATTTGGTTAGTTTCAAAATCTAACAAATTTTGTGTAGTTGGATTCTGTAAATTTGTTCAATTAATTTTCGAGATTCGTTTCGGTAATTTGTATTCGAATTCAATTCAAAAACAATTCGACCAAATTCGAAAAGGCGATCGTGTTTCGAAGTTGGTTCAACCAAATTCGAAATTGATTCAACAAAATTCGGAAAAAGGTCAGTCAAAATCGAAAAGATTTCAACCGAATTAGAAAAATAAAGGAGAGCGGAGGACCAGTCCCCTTTTGGGTGGAGCTCCGCTTTAAATTTGTTTTTGAATGTTTGTTAGATTTTGTTTTCGTATTTGTTTTTGATTTTGTTTTCGAATATAGGTGGATGGATGAGTAAGTTCCTGGCTCTTTACAGGTTTTTTTATACTGCTAGAGTGAGATCTCCCTGACCTGTGTTTGTCCTGGGAATCTTAGGTAGACATGTGCAAAACAAAAAAAATTTGTTTAGTTTCAAAATCTAACAAATTTTGTGTAGTTGAATTCTGTAAATTTGTTCAGTTAATTTTTGAGATTCGTTTCGGTAATTCGTATTCAAATTAAATTCAAAAACATTTCAACCAAATTCGAAAAGGCGATCGTGTTTCGAAATTGGTTCAACCAAATTCAAAATTGATTCAACAAAATTCGAAAAAAGGTCAGTTGAAATCAAAAAGATTTCAACCGAATTAGAAAAATAACGGAGAGCAGAGGACCAGTCCCCTTTTTGGGTGGGGCTCCGCTTTAAATTTGTTTTTGAATGTTTTGTTCGATTTTGTTTTCGTATTTGTTTTCGATTTTTGTTTTCCAATTTGAATTTGTTTTCTAATCAAATTTCGGCCGAATTTCGTTTTGTTATTCATTCACGGATTCATTCAAATTCGTTATTTTTGTAATTCATTATTCGGATACATCTGAATCTCTGAATAATGAAAAAATTGGTCCGAAATGCGATTTGGAATGAAACGAACAGCACATGTCTAGTCTTGGGTGTTCCTGTCCAACTGCAGGGATGGCGAGAACCATTATTAATGGGCACAGCAGATGTGCAGACCTAGGAACACAGCACAGGGATGGTGAGAGAGCCCCATAATCAGCACAGCAGACATACAGACTCCAGAACACAATGCTGGGATTTCATTGACCCCTGGCTCACATCTGTGCGGATCCACACAAAAATCCATGCTGCTGCACCACCCGCAGAGAGGAATGCAGACCTGCGGGCTGGTGCCCATTAATTCTAATGGCACGCCTCCCACACTGGAAATTGCAACCGTACTGGGAACCGAGGTTCCCCTGCAGACTGCGTTTTCCCGAAGAAGTGCAGGGACTTCTTCCCTGCGTGTCCCGGGGCATGGGAGTCCATTCAAATAGCTCTGGTGCCCATGCAAAACGCGGCCTGCAGGAACGCGGAGATGTGGACCTAGCCTTATAGAGTCCCCTTATAGAGTCCCTGAGGAATAGGAGAGACTCTCAGATGGTTTAACTCTCCAGCATCTATTAAGGTATATCAGTATTAGAACCATTTAAGAGAAAATAAAAAATGTATAATATGAAAATGTAAATGATATACTGATATATAACTTTCCTAAAATTTTGTGCACAGAAGTCCCTATATACTGTTTATCTGGAGGCCAACGAGAACACATGTGAACAGAATGGTGGCAGAAAGATCTCACTATCAGAGTTCCCATGAAAATCAGTAAATAAAGAAATAGATGTAAACTCAGTCACACAAATCTCATATAAACTTTAACATGTTGTAATTTTAAAATGTTTTTCTTTTTTTAATTTGCAGTTTTTTAAAAAAAAATAATCACTAGTGATACTGCTACGATGATTCCTACATTTCCTGTTATAGGGTGACAACTGATTCAGAGTTGTGCTCCTGCACTATCACCCTTGCACATGCACACATGGTGAAGACTATATGCAGCTGTGCCAATATACATTGTGCAGGAATGGACAACCATTATCAGCATCAGGGAATCAATCCAGAATAGAGATGAGCTTGGGCATCCTCTTAACTTATCTCTATCCGAACTCCAAATTCACGCTCTTTTTTACTCCATTGAGCTGAAAGCCGGGTCATTCCCACCCTACAGTTCACTCTCTTTGTTTATAGTAGGGCAGGGCAGGCAGCTCATTGGAGTAAGACTTGGTTCACATATATGCATTTTGCATTTGATGCTTTCTCCAGTGCTTTTTAGCAGTTTGTTTTGCGTTTTTCTACACGCGTTTTTGACGCTTTTTGACCGTATTTTGTGTTTTGTTCAGCTTTTTTTTTGTTAAAGTGGATTTATTTTGTTGTCGGGCAGAATAAAAATGCAAAAAGGCAGCAAAAATGCATTTCAGCAGCTTTTCTATTGAACACTATTGTAGAAAAAATGCTGATTTTTGCTTTTAAAAAAGTTCCAAAAACGCAGCAGCTCAAAAAAGCATAGATGTGGACATGTCCCATAGGGAACCATATTAAATGGACTGTAGTGCATTTCTGAAAAAAGCACTAAAATGCATTGACGTGACCAGAGCCTAAAAAAAGAGTGCAGATTCAGATTTTGTGTAGAGATGAGTTCAGAGGATGCCCTGGCTCATCTGTAGTCCAGAACAATGATGTGCAGCTGATGCTTGAGCAAGTGCATGTAGAAAGGAAGTGATTGAAAAGGGCCACAGGAGATCAGCAGCATTGATCTCCAGTATTTTATGTAAAAGAAATGATGATTGCTCATGATACACAGTGTTTAATCAATCTAAACAGCTCCAGTTTGGGTTCTACACCCACATTAATTCTGATGTTAAAAATACCTTGAGAATGCATTACCTGATTTACATCCACTTTAATAATAATCTTAATACAGCTTTGAAAATTGCATTACCTGATTGCAGACGGGCTTATATTTCAATCCTGATTTATTCAAAATCTGTTCCAGCTGCTGGCGATTGAAGTTGGACACTCCAATAGATTTGACCAGACCTGCATCTATACAACGCTCCATAGCCTGAAAATGATTTGTAGGAAATTAAAATACCTGCTTGTACGGTGATCCCCAGCAGCCCTTACCCCCATATTCTCTTCCTATTTTAACTACAAATTTCCAGATATAGACAGAAGGCAGAAAAATAATTAAGAAACGTTTACAGCTGTTTATATATTTTGAGGCTTGATGCTGTCCCATTTACTCTAGGCACGGCTCACAGGTGCCTTAGGGCTCATGTGCACTGCAGCTGATAAACTCACGTTCAGGAGCTTTTCTGCATTATTTTCAGCAGCCCCTGAACTCTCCCTAATGTTTTCCTATGTATCCATGTACACATCGTCTTTCACAGTCGTTTACAGGCACTTTAGTTTACAGTTGTTTTTTGAACACACCAAACTTGCATTCAGGAGTAGATTTTATCAGCGTTTCAAACGCCAAAAACTTGCAAACGCGTGTAACTGCATTTATAAGCGTTTTTAACTGTTCCATATCCAAATGCTGTCCAGAGCCTTTTTTCATCATCAGAAATGCATACAAAGCGTTTTCCATGTATTCAAATGGACCCGGTACACCAGCGCAGTCAGTTCCAAGTTTTGTGAAGGACAAAATGGTAGAACGTGCCGCATTATGATCATGATGGGATCCATAGTGAATACAACCAGAAAAGACGGGTCATCTCAACACATACTGCTCTCTCTGCTTCTGCTCTCTCTATTCCATTCAAAATGTCTAAAATAGTTAATTTTTTACTATTTTTCAGTGCATTCTGGGCATTTGGGAAGGTCTCCTGAGGTTATCTTAAAAAGCGATTCTAAGCGCAAACGCGCATAAACACGGTATGCAAATGCAGCTAAACAGACTTTTTTTGACCTACGTTTTCCAGCAGTCAGTTTCCATCCTTCAGAAGAGTTCCCGTGTACATGAGCCCTTATGATAAATACAGTGCTGTTATTTTATTACATTCTAATTGAGCCACATGTTTACTTTAGGCATATCATTATCACCTCCCAAGTGTCTTGGATGTCTGTGTCGTCATAGAGGTATTTCCCATCTTTATCCACTGGAATCAAATCATCACTGGGCTTGGAAAAAAAAAACATTATAGTAAATCAGTGAGCAAAAGAATAAAATAAAAAGATTCTCTAACACTGTATGTTTTGGGAGCAAACTAGATGCCTGTCATCTTTTAAACATCAACAGATAGGCATTATTTAATATTGAAGTCTGATCTGCTTATATTTTGCCTTTTCTGTACCCCCACCCCACCACATCAACATGCTAATGACATTTTTAAAAGAGATGTATGGCTTAAAAGAAAAACAAAAAAAAAAACAATCATATTAACCTAGATGACTGCAGCACCAATCCCAGCTGCAGCTGTCCTTCGCTGCTTCTAAGACTGAGAACTGAGTGGTCAAACACTGCTGATCACACAGTTCTCAGTCTTCAGCCTGCAGAGAGCCCATGACTGTCAGTTACTGGAGTGCCAGGCTGTGGAGGGAGTGAGAATGGCTGGCTCAGGCTCTCAGCGGCTCATTGAGAGGCTAAGCCAGCTACTGGTCCAGGCATCTGGGTGGATCCCGACTTTAAAGTCAGGATTTTTCCTGAGCCTGGAGTGGCTGAGTGACGTCAGCCAACAGCGGGCTTTAGCTCTCTGTCTGCTGTTTGTTCTGCATGAACTGGCAATACTTCTCCTTTAACCTCCCTGGCGGTGTTCCCGAGTGTAGCTCGGGGTTAACTATCAGTACCAAAAGCGGTAACCCCGAGCTACACTCAGGATTACCCTGCAGCGTTGCTCTGGGATTCCCTCTTGCACTTACCTTGTCCTGCGTTCCCGCGATGTCCCCCCTGCAACGTCCCCGGCCATCTCCTCCGGCCGATGCCGGCATCCGTCTTCCGGGTTCCGATACCCTGCGAGCGCCTGGACATGCGGGGGACAGAACCGGCGGGAAATTTTACAATTTTAAAAGTGACATTCACTAAAGTCACTAAAATACACATAGTAAAACATTACTGTATCAAACCATTTCACATACATTTTGTCCCTACTGCTTTGTCCTGTGCCCTGCCTGCATTTTTACCGTCCTTTCTGCCTGGAAACTGAGAAACGTCCATGGCGTCCAAAAAGCATCCCTTTAGGTCAAAAGCGTTTTTAGACCAGCTAGAGAACAGCGATAGTAAATCAGAACTACTTGCAGAATTGAGTGATAATGATTCATGGGGGAAATTCGTCATCAGACACTGAAAACGATTTTGCAACTTTGCTCAGTGATGTGCGAACTTGGTGATATATTTCAAATTTCAGTGTTTTTTGTTTGATTATATTATTGAATTACATTTATTATTATATTATTATTTTTTATGATTATTTATAAATTATATATTTATGATTTCGTGTTTCAAATTTTATCATACCTGGGATGTTTACTAGACTCTTGTTTCGGACAGATTTCAGTGAGTTATTCCTAAAAATTCCAGGCCCTACAATAAAAAAACTGCATATTTCCATGCAAAAAATGTACCGCTTTGAGCACAGAAATATTAACATAATCAGACGGCTAGGGACGTTAAATAACACCTTTGCATTTTCATTATATATCTGTTTTCAGAATCAGGGAGTAAGTAATGTCATTACTGGGTCTCTGTGCTTTTCAATGCAATGCAGGCAAATCATGGCTAGCAGGAAGGGTTGAATGTACATAGCTTCCTGAAAACATCACAGCACCCTGCCTTGGTACTGCTCTTGAAAGCCCTCAGCTATGATGTAAGGTTTGGCTCTTAGGAGGCAAATTCCCAAAATGTCCTGATGGGAGGATGTCAGTCATGAGGAGTGAGTGTTCCTAGGCAGGCTGTATCTGCATGCAGACCACCCTAGGTAATGCCCAAGCGTGATGCTGAGCCTCCATGTTTGAAAGAACTGAAATGCAAGGAATAAAAGTGACAGGCCAGGAACAGTAAGGCTAGGGAGGAAGGAGCTAGGTGATGCTGAAGGTCCTTCAGCCAGAAAATGAGGCAGGTTTTGTGTGACTGGCTGCAGCTTTTAATACACATTGTGAGAAGCCCGCAGTGTACAGTGAAATGAGAATAAGCAATTTCATTACAGAAGAACCTGTACAACTGTTCAAGATTAAAGGGAAGACTGGAGATCAGCTTTAAACTAACACTGTCCCATCCCTGGAAATCTGCTTACCTGAAATTCTATAGGCATGTGAATGAGGAAGAGATCCAGGTAATCTATTTGAAGAGCTCTTAGGGATTTCTGCAGACCATTCCGAACCAAATCAGGTCTGTGGAAAGTGCTCCAGAGCTGAAAACAACAAAAAAAAAACATTTTTTTCAGATACTTCCACCAAGCTAGAGAGTTCAGAATAGGCCTGATCATCACAAATTATGTTTAAAGTAGGAGCAATGCTTGTGAATAACCCCTTGTGATTCATTCTGGGGAACCAAATAAGGGTTCTTTCACATGGGGCGGACCCAATTAGCGGATCCGCTTGCTCAGTGGGGGGATTCTCTCCGCTGATCCCCACTGAGAAAGCAGACAACAGCTCTGTGTCTGCTTTGCTGCTGCATAGCAAACACAGAGCTGCTCGCTCTCCTCAATGGGTGGTCAGATGAAAACGGACCGCCTGTCCATTTTCAACTGACCCGATCCCATGGACGGAAGGGGAATTGGATCACCATCCGTCCCTTTTTGGTGATTCGGATTGGATCAGATGTCGGCGGGTGTAATCGGACACATGTCCATTTACACTTGCCACTCCATACAGGAGAATGGAGGTTCCAATCGGGTCCACCTGGAAAACAGGCAGGCAGATCCGATCTGAACGTTCATGTGAAAGAGCCCTAAAAAAAAAGCTTTGACATTTAGCAGCAGCAAGATTTGGGCAATGAAATATACTGATTTTTTTTCACCCAGTGCTGAAATGACATGTAAAGGCACTATCCTCTATTGTGATCATAATTGTGCTTTTAAACGTGACTTTACACAGCTAACCTTACCAGCGTTATCAAAACCCCTGTGTGCATGGAGCCTAAAAGAATTAGTGTGACACCTTTTGCTGCAATATGTTCTGGTTAACCCTATGGATGCAGTTAAATTGGTGACTACACCACACGGAACTTTACTGAGACAACAAAATGCTTTAATGGTTTATTCAACAGACCAGCAGGGAGAAAATGAGGGATATTCATTGTTAGGGTTTACATACACTTTAAGTGATGTGTATTTTTTGGTGATGATAACTGTATAAATATAAATGTATGCAAATATTTATATTTTTTATTAATTCCTTACAGTTCATACAATGTGTGACAGACCTACCTTTAGACTAAATATTTTTGCAATAAAAGGTGTCCCTCTTTCTTACTTCAGAAAGAAACTACTGCATAATTCTGCTACAACCAAAAAGTACCAACCTTCCCAGTTAAGAACAAGTCTTCTCTCCTTATGGTTCCATCTGTGATCTTATTATGGATGGCCCGGCCAACTTCAACCTCATTGCCGTACAGGTATGCCCCATCAATATGGGCGGTACCCGGCTGTGATGGCCAGCTTTGTGGCCTCTTCCGCCATGCTCCTGGGGTACTGAGAAAAGCCAATTTGATTTTTAGATAAAAAATACCTTTACGTATTCTTAGAAAATTATGTTTAATACATTAATTTGTTAACACAGTAAGCTCTATTCACAAACCATTAATTAATCAATAAATGCTATATAGCACCTTCCTAGACAGGTGCTAGGAGTACACCACCCCCCACTGACTTTCTCCATCACATCCAACAATGCCACCAACAGGCCCGCCCCGCAGGCCAGAGTACTTGGTGTCATTCTTGACTCCAATCTATCCTTCCAGCCCCAAGTCCAATCACTAACAAACTCATGCAGACTCCACCTCCGCAACATCGCCAAAATACAGACGTTCCTAACCCCAGAAACCACTAAGCAAGCTCATCCACTCCCTCATCATATCGCGACTCGATTACTGCAACTCCCTCCTCACTGCCTACCTCGCCGCTGGCTATCCCCGCTTCAGTCGATCCTGAATACGGCTGCCAGACTCATCACCTTTCCAACTGCTCCTTTTCCGCCACCCCCCTCTGCCAATCCCTCCACTGGCTTCCAATTGCCCAACAGATCAAATTCAAAATCCTAACACTGATGTACAAAGCTGTCCATCTTACTGCCCCAACCTACATCACCGACCTAATATCCAAGTACCACCCAACACGCACTCTGCGCTCCTCACAAGACCTCCTTCTCTTGAATTCCCTAGTCTCCTCCTCCCATGCCCACCTCCAGGACTTCTCCAGGGCGTCACCCATACTCTGGAACTCCCTACCCCAATCCATCAGACTATCACCTACTCTCCTCTCCTTTAGGCGCACCCTGAAAACCCCACCTCTTCAGGGAAGCCTACCCAGCCCCCTGCTAATTTCTGACCTCCTCCACTCTTCCTACCACTCCATCCCCCCACAGCTATTTCCTCCTGTACCACTATCCCCTCCCTCCTAGATTGTAAGCTCCAAGGAGCAGGCCCTCGAACCCCTGGTGTATCTCAATGTATTGTTATTGTACTGTTGCATGTTCTGTCTCCCATTGTAATGTACAGCACTGAGCGAACTGTTGGCGCTTTATAAATACTGTATAATAATAATAATACATATAAATACTTCTCTGGCTTACTTTATCCATTTAAAGATGTATTTTTATTGTTAGGTAAATTTAGTTCTAGCTCACTGTAATCAATGCAGCTGCATTTGATTGGATAGATCTGTTCTGTGTCTCACAGGCTGCAAGTTAGATTGCTCTCTCTCTCTCTCCCTCTCTTCTTTTCAGAACCCTCTGGGGTGGAGAGTAAAGTAACTAGGCAACATGAATATTTATACTGTCCCAGACAATCTATGTGAACCATGCACAGGTGAATGCTGGGAAATGGGTATAAATAGTCTGAAATCTGGGGCAAAATTTTATTATCCTTGAAGAGAAGTCCAGCCTGAGGGTTTGCTGCCCTCTGGGCACCCTTGCCATATGCTTGCTGTTCATGGAGCCTCAGCTGGGCTAGCTGAGAAGCTTGGATGCTAAAGGTTGCTGGGAGCTGACTGAGAGGCTGTCATCTGAGGATCTGGTTTGAGGTCACTGGTAGAGGTGCCTGGAAGGTTTTGGCCGGAAGCAACCATCACCTAAGGACATTTGTGAGTACAGACTGGTGTGAAAGATTTTAGAGACTGTGGGCTGCTGCCACCCCCCTGGTGCTAGAGAGTCAGCTGTGCATATAAAGGAGATGCCAGCTGGTGTCCTGAAGAGCTCAGTCCATCTAGTTCTTTGTGAAGAGCCTGAGCTCAAGTTGCTTAACCACTTCAAGTCCGGACACTTTCACTCCCTTCCTATCCATGCCAATTTTCAGCTTTTAGCGCTGTCACACTTTGAATGACAATTGCGCAGTCATGCAACACTGTACCCATATGAATTTTTTAGCATTTTTTTTTGAGACAGATCAAACTTTATTTTGGTGGTATTTATTCACCACTGGGTTTTTTTTTGCTATATAAATGAGAAGTCCAAAAATGTTGAAAAAAAAGTGTTTTTCTTATAAAATTTTGCAAATAAATAATATTTCTTCATACATCTTGGCCAAAATGTATTCAGCTATCATTTTAGTAAAAAAAAAATCCAAATTAGTTTATAACCAAAAATTATAATTTTTCAACTTTTTTTTTTACTATTTTATTTTTTTTATATTATTATTTATGTTTTTTGGGTTTTAACATACTGTCACCCTAGCACTACAGTGTCACCATAGTGATACTGTACTACTTGTGAGGGGTGATGACGATTTTTTTTTTTTTTTACACTGATTGATTTTATACCCATAAATGCTTTAAAAGCAATCATTTCTCCTTCTCTCTGGCTGCATTCTTGCAGCCATTGAGAAATACTGTGAGAGCTGTGATTGGTCACAGCTTCTCACGTGGTACAAGGCTACTGTGAATAGCCTTGTACCATGTGACCTCTGTGATCATTCACAGATTTCACACGTAGTAAGCAATGATGTCAAAAGTGACATCTTGCTTACTACTATTCATGTGATCACTGATTGGCCAATCAGTGATCACATGATCGGGACCTCACACAGAGGTCCCGTACAGTGATCGGTGTGCATCAGGACCTGGACACAGCGGGCACCAGATCGCAGTGCTGCGTGCTCCCAGAGAGTGCGCACAGGCTGAAAATGTGGGCGCTGTTTATGAATGGCAACCTGCTCCTGCACTGCTCCCTTCCGGCTGTTTATGTATATGGGCTGGACGGGAAGTGGTTAAAGAAGGAAGCTTTTGTGCTTTAGCTTCTATTACAAAGCCAAATCCACTACCTGCTTTTACAATGACTTTGCTTACCGTTCTACAGAAGGAAGTTTAGTGTCCTCAGCTTGTACATAGTTCTTTTTGGAGTATCCCAGCCGTCTGCATTTGCTTTAGGCTGAACAAACTGTGGAATATGGTTCACTTCTATGCGGCCATGTGGGCCGCATTTTGCATGGGCACGAGAGCCCATTCATTTGAATGGACTCCCGTGCCAGTGGCACAAAGGGAAGAAGTTCCTGCACTTCTTTGGAAAACGCAGCCCGCACGGGAACCTCGGTTTCCAGTACTGTTGCGTTTTCCAGTGCGGGCGGTGTACCATTAGAACTAATGGCACCTGCTCGCGGGTCCGCAATTCTCTGTGTGGGTGGTACAGCTGCACGGATCTACGTGCGGATCCACAGTGGCACCACCCACACACATATGTGAACCTAGGGTAAATGCATTGAGTTGCTGCCATGTGATTTGCTGATTAGCAGCTTGTTTTACCAAGCAAATGAAGAGGTGTATCTAATAAAGTGGCCAGTGAGTGTATAGAAGTAAAGAATTCCATGAATGTTGTGCTGGAAGTGATACAAAAACAGACAATGTATGTTCTTTGTATGAATATCCATTTCATCAGGACATACAGAGGTTTATATATTTCAGCTTGTGCCTAGGCATATTGTATACTACAATCTTAAAGTGTACCTACGATCAAAATGTAAAGTCATATATTTTATTCCACAATTAATTTCAATTATTTCTAGCCTACTTCTATTAAAATAAAAGATCTTGAACTTTGTAAACTTACTTTGTGAAGATCCGCACACATTTACTTTCTTGAATTCTGTGACACATATTTTTCTATGCCCTGTAAGTAGGCACTGCTGTGTCACACATTTCACAGAGCCTGCCTTCTAAACTACAGAGGTGCTGAGAAGAGGCAGAGTAAATACAGAAATCACAGTTTGCGGGCAGCATAGTACCATGGGGACATGTGTGTAGCTCTTTGAAGTAAACAGCCAAAGAGAAGCTGCAAAGCATGCAGGGAATCCAGGATGTTGTGGAAAGAGATGGCCAGCAGACAGGCAGCACTCACAATATGAAAGGAGACTTTTCAAGTGAGTTTATATTAGATTGTCAAATATAACTATTTTGCATCATTATTACATTGCTGCTGTTATAAAATGAAAGTGCATGCTGTGACCATAGATCTCCTTTTAATAAAATTCTGTGTATTCTGCTGTACGTCGCCCATGGCAAGAAGGCTTTGAGGACTGCGAGGGACAAGGTCAGGGGCACTGGCCACCAAGCACTGCATAAGAAGGTAGTGAGATGTATATCATCTTCACTGCTTACAAAGTTTCAATGTGTTGGAGAGCCCCTAATCTAAAATGGTTTTGGGAACCATCTGTATTCTTATATACTATAAACCACTAGGGGGCACTCCAGTGTTTCACATACATATGCCAGTTCTCCAATAGATTGCTAGGAGTGTCTAACGGTAGATAAGCTTAGGACCCATGCACCCTGGGTGTTATGCCCTAGTGCGCAAAACTGGGATTTAGCTGATGGTGGAGATCACAGGTGCATTGTCTAGCCCTGTTGCCAGCATCCTGTCAAATTTTATAAGAGGCTGACAGCTGCTGCAGCAGTATGGGGCTGGATCAGGGGCGGATTGACCATTTGGAAACTCAGGCACTGCCCGAGGGCCTGGGGTCAGTAGGGGCCCCATGAGATGCCCCTGTTACCTTTTTCATAGGCTTTTTTGTGTGGGGCAAGGACACAGGGGCCCCATGATTCCGTATTGCCCAGTGGCCCCATGAGTTGTCAGTCTGCCCCTGGGCTGGATGGTGCACCCAGCCGTATAAACATTAACCACTTGCCCTCCAGAGGATTTACCCCCCCTTCCTGACAGGCCATTTTTTTTGCGATACGGCTCTGCATTACTTTAACTGACAATTGCGCGGTCATGCAATGCTGCACATAAATGAAATGTATGTCCTTTTTCCCATAAAAAGAGCTTTCTTTCAGTGGTATATGATAACCTCTGCGGGTTTTTTTTTTCTGCGCTATAAACAAAAAAAGACCGACAATTTTGAAAAAAAAAACATTATTTTTTACTTTTTGCTATAAAACATATCCAATAAAAAAATTTTAAAAATCAAATTTGGTCATAAATGTAAGCCTAAATGTATTCTGCAACATGTCTTTGCTAAAGGTTGGGGCGGTTGCCTTTTTCTTGTTGTAGTTGGCTAAATTGGACGCAGGAATGCACTGGTATAGCTGGGCGTCATGTGCGTCCCTGTACCTTTAAGGAGGGATGGGCTCCTCCAGGCACACCTGCCCTTAACCCATCCATTTATACATGTGCTCCTACTGGACATTTTAGTTAGATCCACAGTATACAGAGGACCCTTGACATGGGAATATGGCTTACGCATGTATTTGCAAATGTGTACAAACAAAACCCTATGTTTTTAACACATACTGTTAGGCAGGGCCAAATTGGTTGTTTCACAAGCTGGCTAGTAAGTGTTGCTGGGAAATCTTTTGTTTGTAAGACAGATTTACCCTCGCTTTCTGTTGGGACAACAGCGGTGTCAGATCCCAAACTTAAAGCACACTGCCCTTAATGTGTGACAGTGGTGTTCTCAGCCTCCCCCCACAGAGTTTCCAGCTCACAGGACCACAATCTAAGTGTCAGCAGACTGGTAATCTGCAGTCAGGTAACTATGCTGTTAACCCCTACATACAGAAGTCATGGCCACCACTTGTTTAGCGGAAATTACTTGTTTACCATTCACAATAATCAACAATAAATGTGAAATAAACCCCTCACATTGGCGCTGTATGTTATAAATAGAGATGAGCGAAGTATTCAAAAATTCGATTCGACTGATTCGGCAAATTCGTGGAAAAATTTCGATTCGAGTCGAAAATATTCGCTGCGAATTTAACTTATAAAAGGGTGTTTCTAGGCTTCAGAGAGACTTTATATTAGTGCAGAACACTGTACCTTTAATTTAAATGCCCTTGGAGTCTGCTGGGGAAGAGAAATAATACTGTCAGTCAGTATGACATGCAGATGAGTGCCGTCGATCTTAGAATCACCGCACACTTCACTCATTTGGACAGTCACGGGGCCAAAAACCAGAGTGTGGAGCCACAGTGTGGCGGTGGAGGCAGCAGCAATGGGAGGCCATACAGCACCCTATGACAAAAATGGAAACCACCAGCAGTGTGTGAGGAGACCTGAAAGTGGCACATGGCAGAGTGTGGCGATGGAGACAGCAGCAATGGGAGGCCGTACAGGGACCCATGACACACTCTGGACCTGGCAGCAGCATGAGGAGGCGGTACAGGGGCCCATGACAGATTTACGGGCCTGGCAGCAGCATGAGGAGTTGGTACGGGGGGCCCATGGCAGATTACGGGCCTGGCAGCAGCAATGGGAGGCCGTTACAGGACCCATGACACACTCTGGACCTGGCAGCAGCATGAGGAGGCGGTACAGGGGCGCATGACAGATTACGAGCCTGGCAGCAGCAACTTGGACAGGAGGACGTTCAGCTTCTGCACCGTCGGGTGCGTGCTCGCAAACTGTTGTCTCTTGGAAAACGGATTCCAAGAAAGACTGCTGACGTAATCCGTGAAGAGGAGTAGCAGGAGAAGGAGCATCTGAACGAGCAAGGAATATGCCAACAAGCGACAACAGGGGCCCATGACTATTATGTCACAGAAAAGGGGCACTGGCAGCAGTGGGTGAGGAAGAACCTGTAATTGGCTAAGGCAACACCCTGTGAACACTAAATGGAGACCCAGCAGCAATGAGGAGACGTACAGTGGAACCCAATGGCAATGAGACACTGTGGAACCTGTCAGCAGCAATAAGGAGGCGGTAATAGGGGCCCATGCAGATTAAGGCGCCAGTCAGGACAAGCTATGGGGAGGCCCGTACTCTGCCAGCCCCCCCCCACAAAAAAAAACCCTATGTCAAAAAATTGAACACACCA